TGGTTAGAAATTAACATGACCATGTGAAATATTTGACCAATCAGTGAAAACTAAAACCCTATTTTTCTCGAGCATACTTTCGGGAAAATGTCTTATAAAAGCACACTGATTTTGACTTTCAGGACCATGGATGTGACTGACGCCAAACTGTTTAAATACAAGAGATGTGGACACATAGCTTCAAACCCCCTCCCCAACAGCAGGTGCTGGAAGAAACATGTGTCAGTGACTTCAAACAAATCGTCTCCACCAATGACAGCCGGGGTGGTGAGTGAGCCTTCGTGGATGATCATAATCTTTTCTGAATCAAAGACCAACTACAATGACAGATTTTTTTTCTGTGGATCAACTACTAAAAGTCTATTCGAAACTACAGATTTTCTGTGGATAAAAGTCTATTCGAATACAGATTTTTTTCTGTGGATTAAAAGTCTATTCGAACTACAGATTTTTTCTGTGGACCAACTACTAAAAGTCTATTCGGAACTACAGATTTTTCTGTGGACCAACTACTAAAAGTCTATTCGGAACTACAGGTTTTTCTGTGGACCAACTGCTAAAAGTCTATTCGCAACTACAGATTTTTCTGTGGACCAACTAACCAAAGACTTTAACTCAGCTACTCCTTTACTCCTTTTTAACTCTTTTGAATTCATGTAAATATGTTTGTAAATACAACCGACTTATTTAGCAGGCATAAGACCATGTTTTCTTTTTATTTTATCATAGTTTGAAATTTGGACGTTCGGATTTTTTATATAGAAATATCCGGGATGACTGAATTTCCCACAGATAGGACTTGTTCAACTTATACACTGAGGTGATCCGGAGAGAATTAGAAATCCTACTAGGATTCATTATTACCAGCCACAATCTTAACAATATAAGATATACAGATGAGTTTTGCAAGCAGACACAGAAAGGAAATTAAAGAAACTCCTACAGAAGGTAGTTAAGGAAAGCGAGAAGAAAGGACAAAGCATCAACTGTAAGAAGACAGCAAGTATGGTTTTCCGCAAAAGGAACAGCCTAACATATGAATTACAAATTCGAGATACCAAAATCAAGCAAGTACAAAAATGTAAATATCTTGGAAGTGTTTTAACAGAGGACCAAAACGCAACACCAAAATCTGAAGGTGTATTGGGATAGTGAAACATGTATTCCAAAAGTTAAGCAAAATATTAAGAAACAGAAAAATTTTGTGAGAAAAAAAGAAAAGAAAAGATTACTGAACTGTGAAGTAATATCAGTGCTCCTATTCGGCAGTGAATGCAGGACAATCTCATCAGAGATGAAGAAACTTGAGTCAACAGAAATGTGGTTCTACAGAAGGATGCTGAGAATATCATGGACTGAACATGTGAGCAATGATGAAGTTTTAAGGAAAATGGAAACAAAAAGAACATGCTTAGAATCAGAAAGCGACAGTTGAAAAGTCAAGGGTACATAATGATAAATGTGGGTATAGAAAATTTGACATTCATAGGATATATCGAAGTTAAGACGGGGAGAGAGGAAAGCAGTACATAACCTACCAAACGAGCTTGTATAAATGATTGGCAGGACAGGGATTAAGAGATAGCAAAAAGTCAAAATTTATTAAAAGCTGCAAAAGATAGGAAATTGTGGAGAGCCATGATCGCCAACGTTCTCAAGCGATGTGGCACAAAGAAGAAGAGGAAGAAGCAAGAAAAGAAGAAGAAGAATTGGTTTCATAATCTGCTTTGTCTTCTATTTTATGAAGATTTTAAAGTTGTAAAAATAATTTAAAAGGGAATAACACTATAAGCATGTATATATGGCATAAATAATTTATATACTTAATGTAGATATATTAATCAAAATAACAAAAATAATAGATTTCTCACAGCTGCTTTCTTGTGCACGTGTTAGTTAATGTATTGTATTTTCCGTCTTTGTTTACAACTGAAAGGCCTGCCACCACTGACAAGTGCTCACTTTGAGAACTAATACAATTCGTTCTGCTAAACCTACAAATTTTGAAATACATCGCTAATTTTTTTCCTGCATAAATTTTTTATTTTGCCTGCAAATTTTGTCTGTTGCATCCGATGTCCATTGATGGGGGTGCGTAGATGAGAGGTTTGTCTGTATATATATAATGATCGATTTAATTGTTTAATAGCAGATCAACTCCTTATGCGTCATTTAATGCCGAAATTTAATTGAAATATTTTGAACAGAATTTTATTTGTTCAAATACAGATATATTAATCAAAATATCAAAAAATAGTTATTTTCTTACGCACGTGCTAATGTATCGTACTTTCCATCTTTGTTCGCAACTGAAAGGCCTGCCACCACTGACAAGTGTTCACTTTGAGAACTAATACGACTTACTAAGCCGCTGATGATTTGGAAGTTTTTTTTTTTCCTGCATAACTTTTTTTTATTTTGCCTGCAGATTTTGTCTGTTGCATCCAAAGTCCGTTGATGGTGTGGTGGGGATGCATAGATGAGAGTTTTGTCTGTAGCCATCTGTTAAAAACATAGCATTGTATTCTCTCCAAAAGAATTTCAATATATCCAAATTATTTTTAAATTAAAAAAAATATATTCATACACGTCAAAAGTTATTGTAACATGCTCACTAATATTTTAAAAGCAAGTTATGATTTAATCAGTACTAGTGTTGCTTAAATTTTCCTGTTCATAATATTGATTTAGTGTAAAATCAATCCCTGACTTTTACAGAGTTATTGAACTGGCTGTTATTTACAAATATCAGGTTTGAAAGTGTTATATTCCGTGCTAAGGGAATAAACACAGAACACCAAGTGGATACTAGAAGAAAGGTTTATTGTACACAAGTACAATATGAAATATGGTAGTTATATACACAGGTCAATCTAGTAGTGAGTGCCACTAATTGGAAGGACAGACGTGCTTGCGTCTTCTTTCTCTCACTCTCTAAGTCTCGCATAGACGGTTGACTTTATAGGTAGCAAGTACCTTTGTATAATCATTAATGGGGGTGATTGATTATTCCATTACATCAGAAAGTGTGGTAAAATCATTGATATCTGCATAATTTTTAAAATTTCCAACCATTTTTCTTTTCGTATTTTAATTTTGTATCAATTTTAAAAAAAAATAATTATTTATCTTAAATAAAGAATTAGCAGTTTAAATACTTTTATTAATTTATGTAAATTTTTAGTCTTTAATTTAAAATGTATATATCCGCTTGTTCTTTGTTTAAAAGAAATGTTTTTGTAACCCCAAACATCTGTTTTCATATGAAAAGAAGAAAAGTCCAATAATTCTATAAAATCAATGCTTTTTGATTCGAACAATTTTCATGGCTTAAAAATGGTTAAAACAATGCTGATCTGTAAAAATTATCCCCCTATCTCAACACCAAAAATAAATTCCCTATTTGTTTTTTACTAGAAGCAACTTTATTTATACAAGAAAATCTTGTGTGTTCAGTACACAACATTTTTTTTAATAAGCAACTCAGGATTTTGATTTTTGACCTGTAGTCAGTTTGCTTAATTTTTTTCACACAAGAATTACTACTCAAGTTGTTTAAATGGTTTCTTAAATTTTTAAAGCATGTGTCTAATAAAAAGAAAAGAAATACATTTTAATGTAACTAAACTAGTATTGATTGAGTTTTTATGGTTTATCAACCGTTTGTGGGTTATTTAAAACTGAAACATTTAAACTGTAAGCATTTTCTTTTTTGTAAGTAAATATTGCTATAACAATGTTTTGAGAATAACAATGATTTTTCTAGATACAAGTTCTAATATTTAATCCATAGTTGATGGGATGAAATAGATTCATATTTTTCAGAAGGGTATTTGTATGAAAATGAATTTAATGAACCTGACTGGAATTTGAACTCAGCCCTCTGATTTCTCAATCTAATGCAAACTAGAAGAATTGGTAGAATTCTTGAATACAGAATAAAATAATGTATTTAACTTGTGCGGATCTATTACACACGAACATACATACATACATACATACAAAAACACAAATCACATACAATGCCAGGCATTCATTGGTTAATTAATAATCACTACGTTATTATTGGCAATTTACAAATCACAGTAATGTGACAATTTTGTAATTGCTCTATTTTTAAGTAGTCAATTTTGTGCACTTTTGGGAGAAGTGGATCACAGAAGATTTCTTAAGTCTCCCTAAAGCTCGCTCGCTGATTGGTTGATGCCAATCAATCAGATCGTTTGCACAGGAAGAATAATTCATCCCGCGCAGCGATTTGGAGCCTACAGTCACTTATTTAAGCAAGAGTTTTCTAATCCTAATTAGTGAGAAATTCAACTGCCAAACGAATCCACAACAGTTGAAACCATGCACCAACTTTCTCACTCACACACACCACTCACATGCTGAACATACCTTGTACACACTCACATAAACTCTTCTTACACAGCAATATCTTTCAAGAACAATCATTACAAGAGACGCTCATGAACATTCTTCCAGTGAACTTTGGAACACTAAAATAACAGTTAAAGAGAGACAACTCTTAGTTAATTCAACCATTTCTTACTTAAATGCATTCCTTCACATCATTGTTTGTTATTGTACATCTTGTTAAATACATATTTTGGTTATCCTTTTCTACGTCAGCCCTGTTTCCTAATCTAAAGTTAAATTAATGTGGTGAAGTCCACCACAAACTCTTTTTCTTTCATCTTTCTTTATCTTTATTTACAAAACACTGACTTCAGTCGTGGAGTTGTGTTGGTTAGTTGTTTTTGTTTATCAGCTTATCAACAACTCTATGAGTTATTGAATGCTGAAATCTAAATATTTTGTACACGATTTTATTTTGGGCAATAATAATGTTTTAATTAACCCATAGCTAGGGGAAAAAGGTGGATTCATACCTTTCCCAAGTGTATTTGCACGTAAGTGAATATAATGAGCCCAACTGGAATTGGAACAATTCTGAACCATTATGCATTCATAACACCACTTACACATCCAAGCTTATTGCACTTGGTATTCCCAGGTGATCACTCATCTAGGCACTGACCCAGCTCAACATTGCTTAACTTTGGTGATTGTAAGGGAACCAGCATTTCAAATTGATATGGCTGTAGAGTTGTGTAAGAATGATTCAAATGTGAGTACAAGCAAGTTGTTTATAAAAATATCTAATATCTGATTATAAAAAAGAAAATTAAAATTAAGTGTAAAAATAATAAAATTTTGAGGTGAAAAACACTTACCTTTCATGCTTATTATTTAAAGAAAATAATGGTTGGTTGACTCGTCCTCACTTCGTTCAAGTGACAATATGTTTTAGCCAATGAGAAGCTAGTCCTGACAGAGATTGTGAAGTTGTATCACCTTTTGCGGGGTTAATTTTTTTTTTTACTTTGAAATCCAACCCTGATGTTTTATGAAAAATAATTTTTCGTATTATTTCTTTTTCAATTACAAAAAATCAATATAATCAATTTTGAATTTTCCCTCTGTTTTATCAAGAATTTAACATTTAAGTTAATAAAATATAACATTTAAAAAAAAAAAAATTAAAATTGGCTTTAAGTGTTCAGTTTAAGTTTTCTTTGTGCTGTCATCAGATGCAGTAAATACTGGTCAGTGAAGACACTGGCCACAACACGCAGTAAAGATTGATTTTCTTTGCAAATATTACTGCAAATGTCACTGCAAGTTTTATTAACGTTGATGTGAAATTTACTTCCCAGCATGTCATTAGAGATCTGGCTCATAAAATTGTCATTCCATTCTTACCCTAGGCATATTTATAGCAACTAGTTTCAACCTGTGAAAATGCCTCGGTTTTTCCTATTTTAATATTCTGATGAATCTTAATTCTTAAGTGAAAAATAAAAGAAAATAAATTAAAATATCCATAGGAATTCCTCTATCTATTCGTTTTGAGCTTAACAACTTTAACAAAATATTGCAATAAATCGTAAATATGAATGCTGGTCGTTATTTTAAGAAGTGGGTACAAATGAAAACATTTGAAATTGACAGCTCTTTCCATTTCATTAAAACAGCCATTAAACATTACTATCTTCCCTTCTTTCTTTCTTTCTTGCTTTCATTTTCTCATTGAAACCAAGTAGTGTCTTTTCTCTCATTTCCATGTGATCATGACGAATAGTTCATTATTTATGAGATATTGGCAGGGCATAATGGTCATGTGAACTAACAAAAGGTGGGACAAGGATAATATAATAGAATGTTTGAAATTCACTAATTAAAATGTAATTATTAAAATAGGTAGCATATGAAGATTTTAAAAGCATGTACAAAAGCCAGGTATTTCAAAACAGCGGGCATCCAGAAAATCTGCCTAAAATAAAATTTAAAAACAGATTGCAGGCATAGTAGAAAACACAGGATAAAAAAAAAACATAAATTTTTCAACTAAATGGTTTGAATAAATTCAAAAGCCTTTGAGTTTGTATCCTCTATAACAGATAAATGCATGACTTTGCAATAGATTATTGTCAGTTAACTAAAAGCAAACATGCTCACAAACCTATGCTAAATGACTCCATTATCGAGATAAGCAAAGCGACTAGAGATCAAAAGACTCACTGACAGCTGAAACCACATACCTGCTTCTCTAATACGCTGATACCTCCTTTTCTACTGTAAACTGTCAGCAAGAACATTTATCAAAATGGATAAATCTCGATATCATATTTAAATTTGTATGAATATTTCAGTTTACTATCAAAAGATACATCAACAGAAAATCATATTGTACACACCTTTACATGCAAAAACTTGTAAAAATGTACTGTTTGAAATTGTACCATAATTATATTGATTGATTGATTTATTTTTTAAGGCTTATCAACCCTTTGTGGATTATTTAAAACCAAAACACATTTTTTTAATCAATTCACCCCAAGAAAGGTGAAATATTCAGTTTTAATCAATTTCATTCAATATAAAATATTTTACAAGATTGTAGCAAATTTAAGTAATTGTCAGTAACTTTGATTAGAGTCATTCAATGACAGAATGATACTCACCCCCATTTGTAGGATTTAGAATATTACTGCATCTCTAGTAGAGGGATACACACCCACCACCACCACACACACACACACACACACACACACACACACACACACACTCACTAAAAAAATGAAATTAGCTTAGCTTCCTTCATCTCTCTTCAGGATACCTTAAAAAATAATAAAACAAAAAAAGAATTCATGAAAGAATGGCCAAAAAAGCGTGTATTTTTTTTATCAATGTTATTGTGTCTATTGGGTAGATAAAAATGTTTTAGATGTTGAAGGCACAATCTAATTTTGTGATACTATTTGTGGGTGGTATATTGGCCTACAAACAGATATTCAATGACGGAAGACAACAACAAACAAAACAAAGACTTGGCAAAAAATATATCTGCATGTTCATGACAAGGGTGAGAAGAGTGTTGTCCTGAGAAGGATAGTTTTGTAGTTGCTGAAAAGTGTTATCGTAAAAATGCTTTAGATGTCCATTTGGTTTGGTTTGTTTTATTAAATGGGTTATTTAATGCTGACAAAATTTTTATTGCTGGTAATATTTTTTTTTTAAAAAATATATTGTTGGTAATATTTTTTTCCTTCAAAAATCTATTTGCCATAATATTTCTCTTCAAAAATGTATTGCTGGTAATATTTATTTTTTCAAAAACAGTTTTGCTGGTAATATTTATTTTTTCAAAAATGTATTGCTGGTAATAATGTATTGTTGGTAATAATTTTTTACAAAGTATTTCTAGTATTAAAACCTATTTTTACACTTTCATAGTGTTTTGACCTTAGTTTGGAGGTCAACTATTTGTCCATAGCTGGGACCCTAACAGGTGCTACCACCCCATTTCAGGGTGGACCTGGGAACACCAGCAATTAAGAGGTGGTTCCACGCTCCTCAAAACTGTCTGATCAGCGGCCTTGCTATTGAATGTAGTTTATCGTCTTACCCAGGACATGGATGTAGTTTATCGTCATACCCAGGATAGGTTTTAGATGTCAAAGGCACAATCTAAGTTTGTGATACTGTTTGTGGGTGGTATATTGGCCTGCAAACAGATATTCAATGACGGAAGACAACAACAAACAAAACAAAAACTTGGCAAAAAATATATCTGCATGTTCGTGATGAGGGTGAAAAGAGCATTGTCCTGGGAAGGGCAATTATGTAGTTGCTGAAAAGTGTTATCCTGAAAAGGACAGTTCATCACATATTGTTGCTGCTGACAAGGATGGCTGTTTGAAGCTGAAGGCCTGCTGGAGATGGCTGGCTGGAGTGGCAGCTGATGATGATGATGGCTGACTGGAACAGCTGCTGCTGATGTCTGTAGTCATGGGCTGGCCAGCCAGCTGTCTCTAGCTGGAACAGATACTACACTTTGATCCTAGTCATTGTTGGTCCTGGAAGGTTAAGCTTCTTCCAGTTGCTTTTTTTTTTAAATGTAGGATGCCAATAGGATATGACAATACCATTTACCATATTTTGTTTAGGAGTGGTAGTGGTAGAGCTAATACTTTAAACAAATAAGATAATCACCCCCTCACAAAAAATAATGCCTCTGTCCATGGTATTCTCAGCATCCTTCTGTAGAACCACATCTCACTATCTCAAATCTCCTCTTCATCTTTGAGGAAATAGTCCAGTAGCCACTGCTATATCAGAGAATCAATATTACATTGCAGTTCAGGATTCTTCTTTGTTTCTAATACATTTTTCCTGATTCTTAATACTTTGTTTAGCTTTTGGAAGGCATCATTTTGCTATTCCAATGTGACTTATTATGATTCAGAATGATGATGCTGGTATTTCATCATTCTAAAAATAACCTTGTCTTCACTGATGATAGAAAATAAGGATATTTCATCATCCCTGAAATAATGATAAAAAATTTCATCATCCTAAAACAACCTTGCCACCAGTAATGAAAGATGAGAAAGATATTTCATCATTCTAAAATCTGATTGTAATAACGACCCTTCACTACAAGCAGTCAGGAGAGTGGGGTCAGTAGAGTAGAATAGCAAGGGGCAGTAGCAGTATTAAAAAGACTCAACACATACATATCCTCATCCCTCCATGAAAATCAAAAACTGACAAACATCATCCTCACCAACAAAATTCTCAGAACAAGCAAAAACAAGTAAGCACAAACTTTTAAAGAAACAAAAGAGACAGTAACACTGAGAACATTTTTAACACCAAGTTGATATCTATAATTTCCATCATAAAAAAGAAAAATACAAATTCTTGTTATTAATGTTAACATGTGTTTTAAGTATTATTTTTTATGTTATTGATGTACATTTTTATTCATTTCATTTTCAGTATAAAAAGAGTAAAAAGGATTTCTCTATCAACTACTACAAATACTTATAATAACAAGATAACTACTATATTAACAAACTCAACATTCAACCCCATTACAGACCTCTCTGTGAGACTACTCCACTTTGTCTGCTAGAGGACCCCTAATGCTTGCTAGGTGCTATTCTACTAAACAGTATAAAAAAGAAAGGGCACAAGTTTTTAAAACTTTACTTAAAACTTCCTCATTACTCATATGCTCTATCCATGTTATTTATTACAAATAAAGAACACTGAACTGCTATCTAATATCAATTTTTTTAATGAAAAATAAGGTTTGTCTTTATTTTAGTAAATATATTGCAAAAAGCCTCACTGACCCTGCATTTTCTTAAGAACAAAGAAAAGAGTGCTGAACTGTTAACTAATATCAATCCTCCTATGTGGCAGTGAATGCTGGATAAATTCTTCACAGATAAAGAAAAGACTTAAGGCAACAGAAACAAAAAAAAGAGTGCTGAACTGCTACACAATATCAATCCTCCTATATGGCAGTGAATGCTGGGCAATTTCCTCACAGATGAGGAGGAGACTTGAAGTGACATAGATGTGGTTCTACAGAAGGATGCTGAGAACACAGAAGTTATAGAATACTTAAAAATAACAAGGAAAGAAAAATATTTTGGCCAACATGGAGAAACGTCCCCACAATAATAGTGTCAAAAGGACTTTTCCCCCATGACACTGGTTTTTTAACTAGTTTCACTCTTTGGTAATGT